CGGGCGGCCGGGAGAAGCTGCGTCGCGTCCCGAGCGCGGGGCAGTGGAGCGCGGTGCGCGGGGAGCGGAGTTGGCTACAGCCTCACCCGGAGCCGCTCGCTACTCCTCTGTCAACGCGGAGGCCGAGGCGTCGGGCGGAGCCAAGTCCCGGACTGGATCGCGCGCGGAGGCCTCTCCTCTCGCAACCCCGCCTCCTTTGGCTGGCGTCTCCTCGACCCGAAGGAGAGCTCCGGGGTGGGGTGTGGTGTGTGTGCGTGTGCGCGCGCGCGCCCGTGTGTGTGGATGCGAGCGAGCGAGCAAGCGGCAAGGAGGGGACCTGGGCGCTGCGGCTGCAGGTGGAGCTCGGGCTGACACCGCCTCCCCCACCGCAACGGCGCAGCGCAGGGCGCAGGTCCCGGCCGGGGGGTGCCCCCCGAGTGGCCTGGCCGCCGCACCCACCCCACGTCGCCCGCGCCAGAAGAGGAGAGATCCCAGACAACACTGCTGAGCCCGGCCAAATCAGAAAAATAAATAGAAATACACGTAGTGCAGGAGCGAGTTAGAAGAAAGGATCTGCCCATCGATTTTCCTAAATGGAAAAGTTCTAAAGGAGGCGGCAAGCGCGCGGCGCGCCTTTTTGGTTCTGATTACTCCGTCAGGAGGCGGATTCGAGAGGCGATGGGCGCCCGCGCGCCCCGACGAGCTGGGCAGAAGCCGCGCAGTCAGCACTCGCTCGGGGCGGGACGGCTCTGAGTCCGCGCGTACGCGGATAAAGCGCGTTGGGCAGGCAGGTCCACTGCGGTGCAGAACGCGGTGCGGTGCAGAGCCTGGGGTCAGCACGGCGCTCTGTTTTTAAACTCGTGGCTTTAGAGTCCACAACGCGACTGTTAGAGCCGCCTAAACTTTAGACCGGAGAAGCAAACAATGCCCAGGACCGGAGAGCTCGTGAAAGAGGGAAATTGTAACTCCCTCCTGGGCCCCATTGTTAGGACCTCACGCGGAACGGCAGGCGCAGCCTTCCTTCTCCTGCTCGTTTTCCTCCTCCTCCTCCGCCCGGGCTCGCGGAGCCAGGAAGCCCCCCAGCCGCGCAGCGCCCACGGGGAGACAGCGCGCCCAGCCGCGCGCCCCACCGCGTCCCAAGTGGGCTCCGCAGATGGTGCGGGCCTGGCTGTGGCCTCGGACGAAACTCACACTAGGCGCCCACGCAGCTGTTGGAGAGGTCTTGACTAGTCACGAGGTCGACGGGGAAAACCAAGCGGGGAGATTGGGGATCAGATCCACGCGGGCTGAGCGGCCCCGTGTTAGGAAACGTACCTGATCTTTCATTGCGGTATCGCCACTAAGGAGGCCACGTCCCCTTGTTTCTGTCCCTGTCTGTGCAGGCATCTGTTTAAGAGTGCTCACGAGGAATGAATGCACAAGTGACAAACCACCACCCGCCCCTTGCATGTCCACCAACCACCTGGAGAAGGTGGGAAGGGAGGACGGTTGAGGGGGTCTTGCACACTCCTGCGGTTCTCCCCTGCGGCCAGCAGGGGCCGCTCTCCTCTCCCGGGCGGGCAGAGGCCGCCTTAGGCGCGGCCCTGGGTGCGCGCGCAGCCCCGCGGTCCGGTCCGGTCCCGGCTGCGGACGGTTCTCGGTCCTGCGCGATGCTGCTGAGCACGCTCACGTAGGCTGCTGCGGGCAGAGCCCCTGCGAGCCGCGTCCCAAGCTCGCCCTGGTTGGGTCCCGCAGCCCAGGGCCCGGCCCAGGAGTCCCGTGTCCCGGCCGGCCGCCCCGGGCCCTTTTCCCTCTCGCCGCCGATTAACATGCTAATCGTGTCTGAGAAAAAGTTCTTTAATTGGCAGAATTAGGCAGAGCAAACGGATTGTTTCACGGGCGAACCAAATTAATTCTGGGTTTAGCTCCTTCCCTTGGAGAAACAAACAATTAAGTTGTCTTGTTTGCTTTATGGATATATTGGAAGTGCCCCCACATCGAGTTTCAGGGTGTTGTTGAAAGGGACATTATTTTCAATATTAATACTTGCATATTTAGCTTGTAGTAACACGGAGCCGAGAGCAGAGATTAAACTTACCTAATTTAAAACTGTGGAGTACAAGAGGGAAAGAATTCGAGTTTACTTTGGCACAGTCAAGAAGTAGCGCCCAGCATCTTCTGGTGAGGACTGGACCTGAGTCTCAGCCTCCAGGTAGGCGTCGTCCTCACCACGCGGCAGCCGGTTCCCGCCCAGCTTCCCCCTCCAGCAGGGAAAAAAAAAAAAAAACAGCGGAGCGAGTCCCCTGACACCTAGGGGGACACTGACGGGAAGCAAGCAAGAAACCTGCGTGAGACCCCCGCATGCCTCAGACTCAGTCCCAGATGCCTGCTCAAAGTCCGAAGTTACCCCTGCTCCTTCCAAGGGGAGGGAACCGATGAGGGTTCAAGAACCCCCAATGTCAGAGCTGGAGGAACCCAGCTCACGTTGTAGGGAAGGGGCTGAAGCGGCGGGATCGAGCTTGGGTCCCTGGAGGCCGACTGGGTGATAGTGACGAACTAGCCGGGATCCTGAGCAAGTCGCTGACCTTCTGCAGGCCTCTGGGTGAACACACCTGTCACTGGGATTCATGTCACACGCCCTGCCCAAGGGTTGTGTGGTTAGCCGGTGTGTGTGAGTGGAGAATCTAGGGCACTCACTGCTCTGTAAGTGTTAAGTAGCATCACTGCCAACCTGGTCATCCTCCACATCAATCCCGATGTCCATTTTATAGGGGTCAGGTGGAGGCACCGTGGAAAAAGCAGCTGGTCTGGTGTCCCTAACTGGGGCAAGGCTGGGAGCTACCCACAGCAACCCCTCTCCATAAATGCTGTCATGACAGCATCGCTCCCCTCACCTCACCGGGGGAAAGTGAGGAGGAAGGTTAAGATAAAACAGGGTGAGCTCAGACCCCATCTGGCTGTCTCCTGAAGATCTCCTCTCTAGGACCCAAGGGGTAGTGACCTTGGGAGAAGAGTCTTCGGGTGCTTACTGCTGTCTCCTTGCTGGGATGAGTTAAGGGGGGACATCCAGGAAGCAGGGTTGTTTTAGATTCAGGCTATTATCACTGACCATTGAGAAGACACTATGTGTGTCCTTAGTCCCTCCTCAAGAGTTTACTTCTGATCTTAAATCAAGAGTTTCAAAACCCTTTGTGTATGAGAAATACCAAGGAACCTTTTAAGTGTCACACATGGGCAGGCTCCAGAGACTGTCACGCCCTGGGTGCGGTGGGACCTGGGTGGAGGCATTCTTAAAGCTCCCTAGGAGATTCTAACCTGCAGCTCAGGGAGACGCACTGTCCCCGCGAATCCCGGAGTGAGGCTGTTTCTTCTCCCTTGTGCGCTTTTATTCCAGGGTTGAGAAGTCAGGTCCCTGCCCTCCTTCGTCTTATGATTTCTGGCTCTTCTCCTTTCAAAGCCCTAGCCTTCCATGACTATGTTCTGCAGTTCCTCTATACTGTCATCCACAGACCACATTTCACCCTGTTCTTCAGAGACTTAACGCCAGGCTTACAGTCCTGTGTGTCCCCCATCCTGTCCTCATTCTCGGTAGTGTCAGTATCTGCCTCCCCATCAGTCCTCTGGGGTCTCAGTTCCTTGTCTTTCTCGTCTACACCATCCTTTTCCCCTTCCCTCTGCCCCCACTCCAGGACTTCATCCTAGGCATTATCATCAGGAAAGGTCCCGGGTCTAAGGCCCCAGTTCTGACATCCGTTCTCCAGCCGCATGTTCCTCCCATCCAGCTTCCCTGCTCACACATCCCTGCGGCTCTGTGATGTCCACATGACCTCCAGACCACGGCCCTCGCCACTCACTTTCTCCTTCTTCCCCCCCTCTATCTACCACAGCCTCATAATACCAGTCTCTCTCCTCTACCTCCAGGTGAAAGCCCATCTGGCCGAGGTCAGTTCTGAATTATATCAGCACCCACCCCTCTGCTCTAGCACTGGACAGCTGAAGCCTGCTAGAAAAATATTTAGGCAGGTTGTGCTCCCAACCTCCACTGTATCCTTAACACTGTCTTCCCCTCGTTTCTCTCTTTGCTTTCTTCATCTCAGTCTGCTTCTCTCCTTAAAGACATTTCCCTCTGACCAGATGTTGCCCCCTCAGTGCCTCCTACTTCCCTGAAAACTACAGTGCATCCAGTGTGCACATTTTGTGCCCTGTGTTCAGTATTTATACCTAAGCTTCTCCTCGCAGAGTCCAGGTGTATGTCCCTGCTCCCACATGAGTCCAGCCCCTCCCCACGGTCTCCATAACTGGCACATTCTCAGAAGCCTGTGCTTTTGCTTCCAGCCCATCAACATGTGAATAAGCCCCAGACTCTCTCATTTTAGAAATAGTACCTTTCTTAGCACTCCTGGAGGCTGAGGCAGGAAGATTTCAAGTTCAAGCCCAGCTTGGGTGACTTAGTGACATCCTATCTCAAACTAACAGATAAAGTGGGGTGGGGATATAGGTGTGCAAAGGCCTTTGGTTCCATCTTCAGTATTGCAAAAGGAAGAAGGAGGAGGAGGAGAAGGATGAGGAAGAAAAGAGGGAAGAGGGAGGAGGGAGGGAAGGGGGGAGGGGAGGGGAGTGGGAAGAAAAAAGCGCAGCCCTCCCTGGCTCGTCTTTTCCTTCTGTGCTACCTACCTCTTTCCCCTCCTTCCAAAACCAATTGTCATCAAAGATTGTTGAGGTTGTGGACAGCTACCCTTACCACTTCTCCCTCCTGCACATACCATTCTTCCCTCTGGCTCTGTCCCCTCACTCCGCTGACAGGGATTTTGCTGAAGTCTTCAGCGACGTTGCTGACAGTAG